AAAACAAACTCTGCTATCAGACATAATTTGTCGCGAAGTAAGCATAATTAGGAAATCAGTTGATTTTTTTACATATGACGCGGCATACTTTTGTTAAAACCTTTGTGTTCTAAAGTATATCAACGCCGCACCAGGACCGTATCAGACAGCGACTCGCGTATAATTAAATTCTCTATTTCATGCATATTTACATACGAACTTTTTTCTAGGAATTATGATACAAATTATACCTATGTTTAGCGTATTTTATCCGATATGATACCCTCTCAATCACTATACAGACGCATCAGTTGACGCAAGAAATGCAGATAAATATTGTGTCCTTTTTCTACACTTATTGTGCTAATAGACAGACATGTAGGTTTCTGTCCATATGTGCAATACAAAGAAGGCAAAGAGAACATTTAGAAATATGAAAAAGACAGCCACATTTACAATCATGTACTATTAAAACTTATTTATTAAGGGTGTACATAAAAATTAGTATTGTCTAACCTTACTTAAAATCATCTCCATCCTCTGAAAGGTTTTATTCACTTTTTATAAAGAAACCTATTATGTGAAAGCAATAATGATTTTTTTTAAATTAATAATCAAAGAGTCATTTGAATATCTTCAAGAAAAAATGTTTACTCAATCATTGTTTTAGGAAAAAATCTAACTACTAATAAAACAAATAATATATTTTTTCAGTAAAAAGTGAAGTCGCAAAACACGTGAAATAATTGTTTGCAACTATGGCACAAAATAGAAGTTAAGAATTTAATACAGTTATAATTATAAACATACTTAAAAACTTTTTTCTTTGACATAGAATTTTGCTTTTTATGAAAGAAGTTAATATTTTTGTTGTATGAATATTTTTTGCAACAAATAGTTTACCACTCTTATTATTATTTTGACATTATTTTTTATAAAAATATTAATTACGAAAAATTACCATCTATAATCAGAATAAGTATTTTCAGGGGAAGAAGTAGAATTGTCCAAAAGCCAGAACGTAGGCAATTTAGATGTATTTTTCCGAACATCATTGTTTTTGCTGCTCATTTTTCATCTTCGAATGATTAGGCTTTTACTTAATAGTATTAGACCTTTATTCTTAAAAGACGCAAAGTTCCCGAAATTGCTGACGACGCTCTATTAATCTTTCCGCTTAATTTAATTCCTTTTTCCCATTTTCACATGTTTTGGTCCTGTTGCCGACAGACCAAGGTGCTAGAGTGATTGATGCTCGCCGTGCTAACAAGATCATTTTGGCTAGCAAGACGGAAGAAAAATGTCTAAGAGTGGATATTTCGCTAACAAACACTGTCTTTGACTTTAAAGGTCTTCCTGTTTTGCCTCTAGTACTTTAGAGGCTATGCTTACTGTCTAAAGAAAACGATTTAGTTCCAATTTATTTTTGCAACACAAAAAAATGTGTTTCTGTCTGAAAATAAGGTGAAAAACAAAAATTTTGTAGAAACTTTTTTTTTCGCAAAAAGAATTTCTTTTATTTTCAGTATAAACGGCTTTTTTTTCTTGTTCTTGTTATTTTTGTTGTGTATTTTACTAAATTATGATGAAACTGTATGATATTTAACTGAATTAATCTTAGAAAAAAAATATTTTACTGACCACAATATTATTTCTGTAGTAAGTTTCTTTCTCCTTCTTGTATTTATTTATATGAAAATTTATCATATCATATAATTTTCCAAATAAATAAGATATTGTTAAAGTCACATGTAACATTACATATTAAGAAATAAAAATAGGTAAATAATACTGCCCTTTGTGTGCTTTACACTTTTAAAAAAAATCAACAGCATATTGCAAGAAGCCTAAATCGCATTCCAAAAAAAAAAAGATTTAATCAAGACACAGGCTAAACTTAATTAAAAGTACAAAATAAAATTTTGAAGCACACTAGAACAGCTTGTACTTTAATCAACATTCTAACCATTGACAATGCATTATAATAATGTTTTCACATTAGGCATATTTTCACATGTACTTGACAGTGGTAATGAATTGCGTTTTTGCCTTATCAAGAATAACTTTATGTTAAAGGTCTGAAAAAATATTTTAATTTGATTGAGAATAAAATTGAATCGGCCTTTGTTAAGATATGTAATTATACTTGTATTGTAATCTCTGATTTTTTAAAGTAAAGCAAGAAATTGAAATAGTAAAATCTCTTTATCTTAGATACATTTTAACAAGTGTTCATGTTCTTTGACCCTTTCGAATATGTCAGCCAAAAAAGTGACATCTTTCACAACTAAAACCTTTAATTTAAGTAGATACATTATTTCAATATTGAGTATATGGTATTTAGAAAAAAAATGAATGTTAAAAATAAATGCAATAACAAGTTGTTTTTTATATATAAGATGATTAAAAATCTTTATATATGAAAACATCGTGTTTACACGAAGCATATGTTCATTTGCATAATACTTTAAAATTGCTTTCGTAATCATAATGACGATTTCTAAAGCATTCGAAAACAATACGATAAAATTATACACTTATATCATTAATTATAACAACCGCTGTTTGATGTTACTTTCTCGCATAAATCTGTAATGATGAATTGAATAAACCTGTCAATTTCCAAGTCGCCAAGCATATAATCTAGACTTCACTTCAATAGATGTGACGAACAAAATTTACATTTTATGACATCACCTTTACCAAAGTATGCATATATTGTAATTTTAGCAAAGTCACACACATAATGAGTTACGATATTTTTTAAATCAAAGGTATAACGTTTCGAGAGCGAAGCATAATTTGTTAAATAATATATAGTATGGACAAATTATTGCATAAATAGTCTCGTATGAAAAAAGTTGCAATATGTTATTTTTGACATTTAGAAAAGTAGAAAAATATGAATATTTATTCAAGTGATTACCTACAAATCATTTGTTTTAGTGAATAAACCTTATCATTATTACGTCTGTCAACTGTATTTTTTATGATTAGTTTGACAGTTTTCACACAGTCCTTTTTTGTTGTACTATGGATCTTTAAAGAAGTTAATCAACACACTTTGCACTGATCATGATTTGTCCGGTCTGCGAGTATGTTTGATATTTATTTTTGTGAATAATTGAAGTATACAATAAAATATAAAATTGTTGTTTGCCATGTATTATAAGATGAAGATGAAAAAGAATGGGTTTCTCTTGATCTTAAATTGATATTACAATAGCCCAAGCGGTGGCAAATGTTTCCTTGTCCTTTTTTCGGAAAAAGACAGAAATATTTTCATACATTTTTTATCTTAGGATGTCAGGGCAAAAGAAGATTTGAATTTTTATCTAACTTCTCTAATGGTTTCTAGTTTTTATATAACGTTTTATACGGTGTGCTATAAGAAACGCAAAAATAAAACAAACCGAATCAAATAACGGTCCAATAACTGTCATTTCAATTGGTGTTTTTACTTTCTGCTTCTCAGTAAAAAGTTTCCATCAAAAACAAAGTGTCACTTTAATTGTGACACTATTTGTAACAAAATTTAAATTACAAAAATTAGAACTCCACTTTTTATCATTTATAAACATACAAAGTAGTTTATTAATTTGCCTTTTTTACGCAACTGATTCACCATAAAGCATCCGGAAAACTTCTTTCATTTTCTGTACTATAAACAAAAAATGCCCTCCTACAATTATTAATACACGTTGAAATGTCAGTTCAACCACATAAAATTTGTGACATGCAGACTTCGAAATTTGGGGGACTTGTATTTTTGAATTATAATTGCCAATGTAGTAAAGAAATAGCGGCAAATGGTGGGTAATGAATGTCAGACCATGAAATGGCAAAAATAGGAGGCCCTCTAAAAGTAAAAGTTAACTTTAACGACAATAGACTAGGTGACTCGATATTTATGTACGACAAGTAATGTTAATTAGTGTCCTTTGGGTGGGCCAACGTATTGTAAGTGTCAATGTTTGTGTAGTAGTTACTATCGCAACGTAAGGCATACAACGTTTTACCGCATTATGTAAACCGATCATTGGCGTGTTGCAGTTCTAGGTCGCCATGCCAATAGAGTAAAACATAATCATAAAACATCATCTGCATGCATGTCATGTGTGCCGAGACAGTTTTTAATTTTATGAGGTATTCACAATCTTTACATATATAAAATAAGCATGATAGAAATACAAAAAGGGCGGAACAATGCTTTCAATAAAATCGTACTATAACGTGTTTTGTATTTGTTTTGAAAATGGTTTTACAACTCTGAATACTTTGAACGCGGAAATAACAAATTTTACAGAAAAATTGAATTGCAGTAGATCCTTTTTGAATAATATATTACCAGACTAAACATAAAAATTTGAATTACTGAACATATGGAATAACTAGTAGCTCTGCTTTTGTATGTTTACGTTTACAAAACGATCTATGGTAATCATCTAAAATCATTATTTTTCTATCATATTATTCATAAGAAAAAAATCAAGCTTTAAAATTAATCTAAAAATAATGTAATGTGAAATAAAACATAATAAACATAAAATTTAATTCTATTAAGTTCAAGAAACATCATAAGCATTGATGTGGTTCCAACATAATTCATGTTAAACATTCTAAAACATCGCTCTAGGATAGTGAAAACAAAAGTAAAAATTGAAAAACTAAAAACTCGGTTTGATTAATATAATTCTGTTCAGGACAGAAATTTAAAGGTGCGATATCCCTCAGGCCACCTAGCTGGCTAGCACCGATTGAAATTATGAACATCAATGGTATAAAAATATGTTAACAGGTTGTATTTACAGGTTAGATGTTGTAACTATGTGAAATTCTATATCCCAATATCTAATTGTGTTTATATTTACAGGTATTATGTTGTTTTGATTGAAATTATTTTGTCAACATGTGTTTGACAACACAACAAAACGATTGATGTTGTAATTAAAAAATAACATTGTTAGTTGAACACAAAAGCACAAATCATTGTTATAAAATGTTTTCGTATCTCTTTTCAGCAACGGCTCCACCAATCACAAAAGCCGGCGATTATGGTTACCCAACTGCTCAGACAGCACAGACAGCCGGAGGTGCAGGATCGAATATGGGTCGGACAAACTTCACAAACAAACAACTTACTGAATTGGAAAAAGAGTTTCATTTTAATAAATATCTTACCAGGGCTAGAAGGATCGAGATAGCGGCTTCACTGGGATTGAACGAGACACAAGTTAAAATATGGTTCCAAAATCGCAGAATGAAACAGAAAAAAAGAATGAGAGAAGCCCAATTTAGCTCTGCCAATAGAGAAAATTGCCAAATAGGACTAGAATCAATGGGCGTCAATTCAATAGCTATGTGTCATGATACTAGATAGACAATGGTAAACAAATTGACCCTCATATAATACAATGAGCGTTCATTCCCGGTTGGAATGGTATGTTCTGTGAAAGTCCTAACAATAAAAAGCATAATCGTTTCAAAGAATTCCTACACTCTTAATATTGGAGTTATTTTTGGAGTGTCTATTGTCATGAACCCGAAATTATGTCCGCCATATTGTTTCTGTCTAGTCATACATAAACACGTGACTTCCTTTTAAGTTGTCACGTGGTGTTTATTTTTAAGAAAGGCATCAAACATAGTCAGTTGTATCTTGTCAGAATTTTCGTCGGTAAAAAAAATTGTGCAATATGATGTTGTTTGAGAAATTCCGAACAGATCAATGTGAAGTGTAACAATGTTTAAAAGTGCTCACGAGTATATGTGTTAAACCTAGAACTAGTCTTGTAGAAAAGGAACTAAGTTGTATGTCTGCAATTTAGCACTCAACCGAGCTCAAGTGATGATGTTGTAGAAATTTGGTCAATTGTACGTTAAATTGTGCAGTACAAAAACGGAACATTTTCATTGCTTTGGTGTGACATTGCGATATAATACGTGTAAATTTACTAATATGCATAATATATAATTCCTTATTTCCATTTTGTTTCTTTAATTTGTTCACGAATTGTTGGTATTTTTTTCTGCTTATTTTTATAATGGAATAAAATATATGTAAATGTTGTTTATTTGTCTGAAATATGTTTGGTCTCCTGATGACCTCATTTGTTTTCTGTCATTGAATCATGTGAGTTGTAAAGGGTTTATAACTATTTCAAGTCATATCTTTCATGGTTCATTTTTATGTATTGTAATTCACATAGGAAGAAAAGGTTGAAAAGCCCGACTTTTTCAACCAGTGATTTGAAAATAACCGTTTTATGCGAATACTAATGAAAAGGCTGTATGTGATTTGGTGTATTTAGCCAATAGGAATAGCTAATGTCTTGAATAGGTTTTAATTAAATTATAATTTTTAGGGATGTAACTAGCCCTTTCACTTGTCACGTATTTTGTCGCGATATTAAAAATAAACATGTAGAAAAGAATGAAATACGCCTTGCAGAAAAGATTTTATGTCGGTTCCAATGAGCTAATAAGTGCTTTACATAGAAATATTTTACTTTCATTTTTTTGCCATTTTACTTTGATTTAAATCAACAATAAGAAAAACATTACAAAAAAAAAATTTAAAAATACATATTAATTTAAAAAACGTATATGTTTTTTTAAAAAATTCAGTTAAAGAATGCTGTTTTCCTCCGAAGAATACGCATATTTCCTAATTATATTTATATTGTTAATTAAATAAGAACAACAGAAACGATTATAAATGGGAATACAAAATAATGTAAAGTATAAATATACTGGAAGTTCGTATTTATGTAATGAAAAATAATAAATCTATGTATATTTAGTCTATAAAGATTTTAAAGTTGAGCAGAACCAAGAATTTTAATACAATATGGGAATAATATAGCATGATAATAATTTCAATTAGCATGATTATTATATTTATTTTTATCATGATAATAATTTTTAAAATGAATTTCAGCGCTGTAAAAATATTTTTAAATAATATAATTATAATTTAAACATGACGGGAATATTTAATTCCATATTCTGTGTAACTGTAGAGATATTTGGCGAAATTATTATATTATCATCAGCTATTTTTTGTTATAGTTCAATATCTGCAATATGCTACTATGCTTTCGTTTCTTAGAGAGAAAAAAAACTTTCCTTTTGTTTAAAATAAAATGAAGGCTGAAGAATTAGAATTCATAAACATGAATGATTTTTTAACTTTTATTCTAAAAACGTCATCAGTAATTTAAAATAACGGTTTTGCATTGAAACCTTAAAATGCTTACTTAGAACGGGATCTTTAAAAACGCCAATGTAACGTAACACCTTTCAAACTAGCGTCGATGACGTATTGTGTTTCACTTTGATCGTGAGTGATCAATTTAAGTTAAACAAAATATAGATTCATCTTATGGCAATACCTCAATCGACTTTTATGTGGTAACGCATTACTTCAACAATAAAAAAATGGTTACTCACGAATTGACAATAAAAATAGAAAAAAAGGATTTACGCAATTGACAAAATTTGTAAAACAAAAGGCTTCGTTTCCTTGAAGATATTATTCGGACTTGAAATATATAGTATGACATAACGAAGTACTTTAGGGCTAGTTCATGCCCCGGATAGGGAAAACGAAGCAATCTGGAATTCGTCAACTATATAGAGTGTTCGATACTTTTATTAAATATTTGTAAACTTACATATCTTAAACATGCAATTAATGCTTAACATGTTACCAAAACTTTCATGCATTTATATATAACATACTGATTCAAATGGTTCAAAGATCTTAATTTTTATTTTTAATTACTGTGACTGAAATAAAATGCCATTAACTGCATTATAAAGACAAAATAAAGAAGGTACCTCATGAATGTATTCATATTTTTAGAAAATACGAATTAATGATACAATGTTTGGAATTTTTTCAGATTTTCCATTGATCAATTTTTTTCGTATCTCTGAAATTACGGCTATTAATCCTAGATTAAACTCTTTAGACCACATTTGTTTCGGCAAAAATCTTATTAAGATATATATCATTATTTGAGGTTAAAATCCACGAATTATGTTTCGTTGATAAGTCAATATCTATATTCCTACATGGAATAAAACGTGAATTTATCATTTCTTAATAGTCACGAAGGGATTTCGAGACGAATATGGAACTGTAACATAAAGCAGCGGTTATTGACATGAAGAATCATACATTTCGTGAAAATATGAATTTAAACATTCGTAAAATTTTCTTTTTTTATATATATATTTCAAGTGATTTTTATTGTTGCATTACATTAAAAATTAACAAGTATGATATACAAATTGACATATCTTATCACGGGAATTAGTAACAATTGCATACACATACGATTCGTACAATTCCTTGAATTTTGATTTTCGTCAGAACTTGGTATATTACTATTCATTCTTAATCCGTCAGTAAAAAAGAAAAATACTAAGTACTATTTCATAGCAATGGTGCACCCTTTTCTATCAATGGCAAACTTTATTTCAATCTAAAATTGGCCACTCATCATGTTTAAGGAAATGTTTCATATCTTAAATTGAAAGAAAATTAAATCAGCAAAATGTAAAATTGTAGAAAATTTTATTTATTTCTACCTATTTCACGTGCTTTTTTATTTCATTTTTTTACAGACATGACGATACCCAGAATGCCCGTTAACACTTTATATACTTTCAAAGATAGATTTCTACCTCAAACGATGTGACATACATATTCATTCAATATAAGAAAGTTTATATTTCAATGTTTCCATTATGTGTTGATATTCATAGATTGTACTGTTCTAAATCCTGTATTTCCCAAATTGTCTATTCATTTGAAATATTTATTTCTATTTTCTAATACCAAAACCACATAGCTATAAGTGCATTTCATTTAAAATGTATTACGTTATAGGACTGGTGTTCAAACTTGGTTTTCTATGATAATATTTCTTCGTTTGGAATTATCAATTAAATTTATTTCCTAATATTTTGTTTATTCAAAACTGATACTTCATAGACTTTAACACGGCGTTTATGTGACATTTATTTTAATTATAATGAAACATTCCGTAGTTTGTTTTAATAATTTTTATCTAAACCATATTCAAAAATTTAAAGTGTTCCAGTAAATTGGTTGATCTGTTGACATTAATATTTGTCGGATCATCTTGCTTAATTTCTTGATTACAAGTTTATTTTTAATAAAAATAAATTATTATGTTTATCATTGAAAAATCATCTCCTTTGATTATCATGTGTATTCTACATGCTATTTCATGAATATATAATAATGCATGTAACACTGATCGAATTAAAAATGTCATGTTCCATATTTTCCCTCAAATGCATTAATAATTCATCGTTTTATTTCTCAAAGTGTGTAGATTTTCTGTTAGGCATATATGATTGTAACTGTTTGATGCCAGGTCAACATTGTCGTGATGTGCAATGTCGTATGTTTTGAAACAAATGAAACACGTAAAAACACAAAAACAATTATTTTTCTGTACTAACATACATGTTGTTTAGTCGAAATATGTGTATAATGAATAATTATATAAGAAGGCGTAAATATATACATTGTTAATTTTTCATAATTGTTTGTTTTTATTTTATTCCAAAAAAAGGCAGTTTTGCTTTTAATTACAAGTGTAGCATTTCCAGAAATAAGGTTTATGATTTTGTCTTGGTGGAACATCGGCTGTAAAAAGTGTGCTGAACTGTTCATCAATAACTGTATCAATTAAAATAAAAGTTTCATTAATTTTTTAAACCTAAAACAGCATCGACACGTAAAACAATTTTAATAAAATGTTTTAGACTATATTGCATGGATAAAATAGTTTTTTTATTCTAGTTTTCATTCAAGTTTAGATATACTTTAAAATAAAAAGAATGAAATAAGAGATATATGTACTTAACTAATGTTAATTCAAGCATATTGATATTTGTATCTAATAGCGTTAGCCTTCCGTTCTGTGTCAAATTTATAGGTACTATTTTACATAATTATATATCTTTACTCAATGCAATGAATTTGTCATAAATTTATTTAAATGACTTCATGTGACAAAAAGCAATCCATTTTCATTTTTATAATCACATGTAATAAAGAAGTCTTTGCTCTAAATTTCAAAGAAACCGTTCACTGTACCCTATAACTTTTGAATCATTTTCTCTGAATCTCCCAGGAGATGTTGCAATGTTGCTTTTTGCATATGGTCTAAGATTTTTTTCTATTTTACTCTCCGTATAGACGCAAAGAAGCTCTTAATTAGTACCACTAATGTCAGAATGGTTTCGTTGTTGCTCCGTTTATTCAGTCCAGGACAGCAGATGTGAAACTTGGAAAGGTTAGCGGCCAAATAAACTCGGCTTAGAGACATATTTGTCTTAAAACGTATTACCTAGACAAGAAATTTAGAACAGTATAAAAACAGGCCAATTCTATTTTCATCATCACATCGGTACCGTTCTTATCTACATCTCAGCTGAGATAAAACATTTACCACTATGCATTTCTAATCAACCCTTGCTTGCTTCTATGCAAACACTCAGATTGAGAAGTTTATAGTAAGAATACAGAGAATATGCATGTCAGACGAACGGACAAGTCCCTTAAATGTCGATAGGTGACAAATAGAAAGTCAAGCAAGTCAAATAAAATAATTTCATGATTTTTTTTTGCTCAATCTGATTATAATCAGGTCCTCAATAACGCTACGCTTTAACAGAAACTGACCTTTGGTCAGATTGTCGTTTACCTCACTAAGAATCATGTAGGATCTGTAACTTGCAAAGAATTATTATTATATTTACCACAGTAAGGAGTCAGTAATAAGATTAAATGATTTTAAAACTAGATCGTGCCAAGGCATTACCAAGATTTAAATAAAACTTAATATATTTTTTGATTTTACAAAACAATAGAGCAAAAGTGTTCCTACTGCAAATAGTTGTTCCATTTAAATTACTAAAATGTCACCAAACATTGTTAATATAGAGCATGTAGTAGGTCGACAATGCAGGCTACCGACATAGAATTCGGAGGTCGTCTAAAAACAGAATTAAATTTTCATAATACGGTATATTTTAGAATTCAATATATACAATGAAAGCCAAAGAAGTGTTCATACCGCAGCGTTCATGAATGTAAATATGACAATTTCATGCAACCTAATGACAAGCTACGTAAATTCATTTCTTAAAATCTATCGATAAAACAGTTCTCATCTTGTACGGAATCTATTAAAAAATGTGGCTTGTATGTAAACTAAACTTCTGTAGGGGTTTTCAAACAAAAATCTTAAAATGGTTTAAGATGTGAGAATATTCAACGGAGGATTTGATGTGCCATAATTTTCGAAAACTCATGTTATTATAAGAATAAAACAAAGGAAATTATTCTAAATTCATTTAGGCGTAAGACAACATTTCAATAAAAAAATCTTTGACCACATTACTGACAACAAGAGTTGCTGTGAACCACCAAGTAAAAATAACAAAAAGGATGTTTTTATTATTAATATGTTGTGCAGAATGATACTGATATTTCATGGTCTCTC